CCCATACCCCCCCCCCCCATCACCACCCCGGCGCCCTCTGGCCGCTGCGCCGCGCGTTGATCATCAGGGCGCTGCGCGGGGCAACGCGGAAGGCAGGTGGTATGGATTCGGTAGAGGTTCGGTAAGTCGTGTTTCCCAGAGTGCGCCGTGGTGGTCGCTCTTGCTTTGGTGCTTCCTTCATCCTCTCGTGCTGCCCCGCGCCCGCCGCGGCCCTCTCCCTCCCGCCGCCTCAAAGGTGCTGGTGCAGCTGCCGTCCCTCTCAGCCCTGGCCGCCTCCCAGTTCCACGCCTGCGTCGCCAGCCACTTTGCCGGCCGCGGCTTCGAGCGCCTCCGCTGCCTCGCGCTGCACGTGGTGCGGCCGGGCGCGGACACGTGCGTGGCCGCGCAGGTCCCGCAGGCCGCCGACGCCGGCGCGGCGCCGCCCTCGCCGCCGCCCGGACGGGCGGGGGTTTCGAGCGCAGACGCAGCTGCCGACGGCGCGGGCGCGACGCCGCCGCAGGACCCGCGGGCGCCCTCGGCGCTGCACTCGCAGCTGCACGCCGCGATCCAGGACATGCTGTTGCAGGAGCTGGAGCCGCAGCAGCAGGAACAGCAGCAGGAGCGGCAGCTGCTGCTGTCGCAGCTGCTGGACCAGCTGGCGTCGCAGGCGGCCCCCCAGCTGGAGCCGCACCAGCCTCGTATGCAGGTTGCGGCGGCGCCCACTGTGGCGCGCGTCGGCCTCCTGGTTGCGCTCTGCCCGGCGCTGCGGCAGCTGTCCATTGGCTGCGGCGGCCCCCAGGTGCTGCGCGCGATCGAGGGGCACGCGACGCTGCATCATATCGAGATGCATGGTGGCGCAGCACTCCCCACGCACGCGCCGCCCTCCCCGCATGCAATCGGCGGCTGTGAGGCCGCGGGCGCGGCCACGGCCGCGTTCACGGCCGTGCTGCCGCCGCACGGCAGCGCCGGCGCGTGGGAGCCGCTGCGCCGCGCGCCGCCGGCGCTGACGCGGCTTGCGCTGCTTGATGCGGACGCCCTGCTGGGCGGCGCCGCCTCTCCCATCGCGCCGCTGGTCGCGCTCGCAAACGGCGCCGCCCACCTCGCTGTTGCGCGCGGCGGCGGCGGTGGCGACGGCGGTAGCGGCGGCGGTGTGTCTGAGCTGCACCTGATGCGCTACTCCTCGCTGACGGACGGCGGCCTCGCGGCCGCGGCGCCGCTGATGGCGGGCGTCAGGGCGCTCGTGCTGGACGGCTGCCAGGTGCGCTCGCGAGGCCTTGCCCCACACGCGCTGCTGGAACGGCATCCGCCGTTGCCTCTGGCCCTAGCAAACACGCACGGCGGCACCTACCTCGGCGCAGGTCTGCGCAGTACGGACCTGAGTGCGGTGTTGGCCTGCCAACGTCATGACCAACCAATGATTCAATCCGATGTACAATCAACAATCGCGCCCCGCCCACAGAATCTCACTGACGCCGGCCTTATCTGGGTTGCCGCCCTGCCCCTGCTGGAGTCACTGATCCTCAGCCGCTGCCCCCTGATCACCGACGCCGGCCTCGCACGCGCGCTCGCCGCGGCGCCGGCGCTGCGGCGCGCGTCGCTCGCGGGCTGCGGCGGCACGACAGCGGGTGGCGCCGCGGCGGCGGCGGGCACGGCGGGCGCTGCGCGGGGGCGGCGGGTCGAGATTGACTGGGCGCGGGCCTGATGGCAGAGGAGCGCAGGCCGCGCGGCGCCGCTCGCGTACAGCGTAATACTATGTCATTTCTTGGGCCAGCAACGGTTGTGCCTCAGCACGATAAGAAGATCGAATCGGCGGGCTGCAACTTGGTTGGCAACGGCGCTGCTGCTTGGAGCTACCGGCGCGCTAGGAGCGTGCCTCCCTGCGAGCGCGGCCCGCCGCCCTCGCGGTGCGGAGGCGGTTGTGTGTGCCGTCGAGTGCAGGGCTTTGTGCGGCCGTCTTATCACTGGCGCGTGCGCACGAGTATCCAACAACGCACGACTGCACACCCCTTACTAGTACACATTATTCCTCGGATGATTGGGGCCCTCACAGCGGCCGGCGCACGCGTGTGTCATGCGCACGCACACAAACACTCATGCACAAACCTCATGAACTTGGTCCAGGAGCGCTTCATCTTCACACCCAAACTCCAGCACTGCCACCCCGACCACGCCCCTCACCTCGTGCCAGCAAGGCATGCCAGGCCGACAACACGCAAGAGGGGCGTGTGTCGGCCGCACGGGCGATGGATGTGAACGGATGTTTTGGGTGTGTGTGTGCCTTGATGGCCCTGCCCACGCGCTTGAGGCCCGCCACAGGTGGTGCCGACAGCTGCTCTGCTCTTTTTGGAGCCGTTTTCCCTCTGCATCCCATGGGAGCCCCGCACCCCGCATTCAAGCCGCGCCGGCGCACTGGCCCCGTGCGCTAGCTCAATCGCTCACTCAGCATTGCTTGCGGCTCGCGGAGCTGCGGTGCATTCGCGTGCGCTCCAACGAACCGCCGCTGCTGCACCCAGAGCCGCTTTCTTGTTTAGGAGCGACTCGTCTGGCGTGTCAGCTGGCCATCTACCGGCGTGCCAAGGGCCGTGCCATCACGGGCCGTGGCCACACTACACAAGCACGCACCATTCTCTCACACATTGCGTTGAATTGCAGCAGTTGCGCATGGTGCCTGTTCGTCCCCTTGCCCTGCCACCTGCATGGGACCTGAGCCTGCGTCCCTGGACGCCCTCGCTAGTCGCAAGGACAATTTGGTTGACCCTGCGAGCCGCCCACTCAAAGCCAAACAGTGGTGTGCGCAGCCCCACCGCAGGCGTTCACTCATTGTAGGGGTGGCGGCGTGCTTGCGGCCACAAGCCCACCAGCAGCGTGCCATTCCAGCCCTTCTGCGGCTTGTCTCCCGCAATGCGCCCACCTCTGGCGCCCCTGCACACACTCCGCTAGACCAGCGTGCCGGCTTCTCTCCTCCCCACCCGCCTGGCGCCCGCCTGCCCGCGCACAAGAAGAATGAAGGGCACAGCGCTGCACGTGTACGTCTTCATAGATCCTTGCTTGCGCCCGTCTATTTGCAATGCAGCAGTACGGCAAACCAGGCCCGGCCTCGCGGCGGTGCGTCCTGTCCAACCGCGCACGCATGCCAACGCCGCCAATGGGGCTGCCCGCGCTGCTGACCGCCCTGTAGTCGCCGGCGTGCGCATGCAGGGCGGCCCTCATCGGCGTGCTTGGGCCGGCCGGGGACCGCATATCTGCTGGGCCCCGGCCAAGCTTCTGGGATGTTGTGACACTGATCTTGGATCTGGGCTAGACACCTTCCATCCCTGCCAAGCCCGGCCGCCACACTGCTGGCTGCCTCGCCGGCACAATGCCGTCACCTTGCAAAGGGATGTGCCCTGCCGCAATGCTGCTGCTTTGCCAATGCATGTGCAGTGTGGGCTGCCACGAGATGCCGCCTGCGCCCGCCGGCCAATTGCATAGGCACTCTTGCACCCGCCCACTTGGGGCTGGGGAAGTCGCAGGAGATTTCGGGTAACTCCAGGGAGAGGCCGCGTCTGCCGAGCGCCGACGCCTGGATCCACAGGGCACGTGTGTGTGCTGCTTTTCTTGCGTGCCGGGTCCCCCTGTCGCGTTCGCTTTTCGTTACGCCTGTCTCGGGCGCAAATGTACGCATGCCCCCACCACGGTCTGATGCATGCACGCGTGCAATGCCGTCTGCTGGTGCTGTGTGCATGGGGGCTGTGTTGTCTCGCCCTATAGGGAGTTACACCATCGGTTTAGGGTGACCCAGCGTCACTGTTGCTATTGTTTTCACAAATTGCAATAACGTTTTCGTTAACCACTCTCATTTGCGCCCGCAGTTCTAATTAGCACCCCTTCTAACCAAGCAGCTGTAATGCGAGGAGGTACTTGGTTTGGCAGTGAGGCGGGCTATGTGAAGTGGCTGCGATCATCAAGCATGTGTATCAGTGCGGAGATCGAGGGTTGAAGGGTGCTGTAGGGTCAGCACGTTCATAAGCAGGCACCCAACGGGTCGATGGAGTGAACGTGGCCGGTTGACTTGGTGATGTGCATGACTTTCTATCAGGCACATGATTATCAGTTTGGTGTGGCTGCCTGCATCAAGCACTATTATGCTCCGGGTGAGCTTATGGCATGTGCATGGCATGCATCGAGCCCGGTAGATTTTTGGCGGGATGGCTGGTGGTGAGGCGCAGCCCGGGCGCGCTTCCTTCCATCCGTCCTGCTGAACTTTGCAGTCCTGAGTGCGAAACGCTTTGTACTGATGCAACAACTTCTGAGAGCTTACTGCCATACCAGACTACTCGCAGATCCGTAGATCACACAACTGTGCTTGCGTGAACTGGCCGCTTTGCAGTTTGGCCTGCCCGATCTCATATTTGCAACCTCTCCAACATCTCACAAGACCCACCGCACTATGCGTGCAACCACAATCGAGAGCACCGTGGATGATCCCGCAGATGCCGCTGCACAGGACCCCGCAGCGCCGCCGGACAGCACGCACCTCGCCTATTTGGTGCACAACACAACCCCCTGCCTCCTACGACCATTCTGTTTCTTTGTCAGCTGGCAGGTGCGTTGATCAGACAAAGCGGCACTGGCAAACCAGCGGCACCGGCCAACCAAGCGGTCCAGGCAGCATCAGCAGTCGACTGTCGTTGTCCCGACCCAAAACGGCACGGCGCTGCAGGCACGGCATGTGTTTCGTTTTCACTGCGCCGTGCTGACTCAATAAGGACCATCGCGCTGGGCATATCTGGTGCAACTTCGCAGGGCGTCCTGAGGCTGGCGTTCAAGGGGTACCCTGCGCCGCTCGTTGCGCTCAAGGCGCGCCACCAGCCGCTACTGTCCAACCCAGCTGCCGCCATGCTGCTGAAACTCGTGCTGCTGTGCTGCACTGCAGCGCCGCATACTCCCCGCTGCCTGCATTCAAAGCAACGGCACAAGTCGACGTCCACATCGCTGAGCGCTGCTCCTGCTTTGACCCCCGGATGTGTTCCTGCGCACGTGCCAGCAAAGCACCCTCCCCGTTGTCGTGCACATAAAAACCCCAGGCTGACCTGGCAGATTACTACGGCGGGCTGCCAAAGGAGCAGCCGGGCAGCCTGTGGCCCAAGACTAATCTTGGGGCCCTGAGGGATGGTACACGCCTCACACCGCAGCAGCTCAAGGCACTGCATGCCGTCTGCTGGTGCGCCTGCACGCGCCGAAGCTGCCGTGCGCGCACGCGTGCGGCCGTTGCGGGGCCGTTTGCGGGTCAGTCGCGGCGCGGCGGGATTTGAAGGCGGTCCTCGGCAATCAGTGCGGCTGCGCTAAGGCAAGCGCACTACATGGGGCCTTGCGGCCCGTTTGCGGCGCTGGGACAGCGCCAGACGTCCCCACGGGTCGTGATCAGTACACACAGGCCTGCCTCTTACTGCACCCTGCCGGCTCGGGTCGCGCGACCCCCTCACAGGGAATGCAGCGGGGCGTTCCAGGCTCCGGGGGCGCCCCGCTCTCAGGTGGGGCCACGCGCATGGGCTGTGCAGCGGCGCACGCCCCCGTTGACCTTGACCGCAGCAGCGCTCAGCGCCCCCGCCGACACTCCCAGCGCGGCCTCTGCAGCCACACCACGGTCCCGCAATGCACGTGCCACTGCGCGCTGCGCACAACGCAGACCAACGATGCCGCAGCCGGGCCGGCCATTGAGTGCCACAACCACGCGGACAGCTAACTTGGCCCCCTTTTGTCAATGTTGCTGTCGCCAGGCGGTCCTGGTGGACCGGCTGTCAGCGGTGGTGTACGAATGCCGCAGCCTGGAGCGGCTGATCAGCCGCCACGAGATGCACATGCGCGGTACTGCGGCCGGCAGCGCCAAGGGCGCAGCGCACAGCAGGAGCGCCAGCGCCAGCGGCGGCGCCAGCAGCGCAGGCACAGGAGTGGGCGAGGACGGCGGCGAGGGTGGTTTGCTGCAGGGCGCGGACGGCAGCAATGGCGCCGGAGCTGGCGGTGGCAGCAGCCGCCACCGCGGCGGCGTAGCCAGCAGCAGGGGCCGGGTGATTGACGTATCAGAGCCGTCTGAGGAGGAACGGGCGCGTGTTGAGTCAGTAGTGCGGGCGGCGGAGGACCCGGGCTATTGGGTGGCGGCTAGCAGGGATGGCAACCGGGAGAGCCACTATCGAGGTGAGGGGCGCAGGTGTGGTGCGTGTGTGTGTGTGCGTGTGTGTATGTGTGTATGTGTGTCTGTTTGTATGTGTGCTTGTATGTACAGGGGTGGAGACAATGCAAGCAAGAGAGGTAGAGAGGGAGAGTGTGTGTGTGTGTGTGTGAGAGAGCGTGTATACGCGTGTGTCTGTGTGTGCCTGATTGAACGGTGTTTTTCTGGATCCGGCTGTTTTAAACTTGCTCGTAGCATCATACCGCAAGCGGCTTGGGCTAGCTTTGGCCAGCCGTCACCTTCACAAGGGACATGGAGCACGGCCCCCAACACGTGGCCTACCCTCCGCTGCGGGCTCGCCGGCTGCAGGCAACGCGCTCGGCGCCACGCTCATTCACGAGCTGGCCTGCTTCAGCCGCGGCGACCCCACGAGGGAGGCGGGCGGCGCTGCAGGCGTCGACAAGGCCTACTCCACTGCGCTGCCAGGTAACAGGCAGCGGGCCCTGCCCTCACAAGCGGCCGCAAACCGCAGTTTCCTTGTGGCAGCTGCAATGCTAGGCGCCCAGGGCCCGAGGTCTGACGCGTGCGTGTACGAACGAAAGCATATTGCTCGCAAGCCGCTGTGGTTGGTGCGTCCCCAAGCTGACCCCATGCATGCGGGGGCCTTGTCTTTTCGCCCCCTTGTGTGCGTCGCAGGTATTCTGCGTCGCTTCCGCGCTCGTGTGGACGCCGCCCTGCCGGGCATGTACGTGTGGTGGGACGAGGCCAGCCTCCACATCACCATCCGCGCCCTCATACCCTGAATCCCGGTTGCGTGGCTGGCGGCGGCGGCGGCGGCCCCCCCAGTGCGCGTGCGGCGTCGGTCATCTGGGAGAAGCAGCTGCACAATTGGTCCGGGCTGCTTACCTTGCGCCCCAGTGCATGGCCCCGTGCGCAGCCTCAGATTTTGACCGCTGCAAAACGACGTCAATTGTGTAGCATAATGTGCAAAGCCGTACGGTCAGTAGTAGCGGGGCTGCCCTGTGCCCCCGGCCCCTCGCGCTCCCAGTGGGCAGGTCACACCCAAGTGACACCGAGCAGCTGCACGACGGCGGCAGACGGAGCAAGGGCCAAAACGCCTTGCTCACTTCTCGATGTCAATGACGTCAACATCTCAGGCCGAGTAGTAACGTAGTGCCTGGTAGCAACGTACCCGTCTGCGAGTCCGCTCTCCCCGACACTTGCCTGGCAGCTGCGTGATCCGAGCAAACGCACTCTGTATGCAGGGCTCACGTGCTTCGACATTCGACATCGCAGCAGCACCCAGCAGGATCCCTAAGATGGGCAAGAAGTGTGGCAGCGGGGGCGGCGTCCTTATCACTGCGTTTCTGCAGGTGCGCAGCTCTGATGCACCGCACCGCACGATCGCTGGCCCTGCCACGGCATCATGCGCTGCATCGATAGAGCCGGCAACTTACCACGGTGATGCTGCACTTGTGTTTGGGGGCCAGCGCGGCGGTGTGCTCAGCGCATAGGCTCAGAGGCGAGAGCGGCGCTTCCTCATGGCTGGTTGCAGGTTGCGCCACGCTCGCGCCGCCTGACCTGCATCTTGCTTGCCACCGGCCGCAGTTGTGCATTGGGATAGTCCTGTTGGGAATTTTTGAAGGATACAAGGTGTACCGGTGAGCTGTCTGAAATAGCTGATCGTGGGCCAGCAAGTGTGCACGCGTGTGTCGCGTGGATGCTGCTCTGCTGCTTGGGTGGGGAGCCGCTGCTCCATTACTGTTGTACAGCCAACTCCTCTCGTATATATGCGTAAACTATAAACACAGCTGGGCCCCCAAATCACACTACACACACACACACACACACGCTCCCGCGTGCACACACACACACACACACACACACGCGCGCGCGCGCGCATGCACGCGCACGCATGCACACGCACGCATGCGCCCGCTCACACACACAGAGATGCACGGGCATTCACCAGCGAGCAAGCAAGCATGCATGCATGCATGAACAAGTGCACATTGGCACCCGAGTGTCGCGCTGAATCCTGTCAAACCCGATGTTTCTACCCATCCACAGGATAAAATACTTTGACGGCCTGATGGAGCAGTATGAGGCGGCCGCTGCAAAGGCCCAGGCGGACGGCAAGCAATTCAATTGGGACCCCAACGTGCTGCGCGCCCAGGCCGCCATCAGCAGCACCAGCCCCATGGGGGTGGTCTGGGTGAGCTGCCGCCCCCCCTTTCTGCTGCGGCAGCCGTGGACACGCGCTGCAGCAAAGCGTCAGCCACACTGCCGGGTGTGTCAAAGCACCGGCCGCTGCCGTGGTTAGCATAAGCAAGAGAGGGGGACCAGCCCGTGCTTTCAGTGCGAGATCAGGTGGGGCGGCGTTCACGTGCCCTGCCGCCCGCTCAGCCCAGCGCCATGTTGCCGCCTCAACCTGCACAGTGGATCAGCATCGCGGGCAACATCTTCTCAATCTGCGGCCTGGCGGGAGTCATCAACGCGCAGCGCGACCTGGTCACCGCCTACTTCGCCTGGAGCGCTGTCCAGATGGTGCCAGCGCCGGGCCGGGCGCGGCTGTGTTCGGCTGCTGGCTGCTCAACTGCATGAGCGCTCACTGTGACCGCCCTGTCCGATTTGCAGACAACCTTATGCAATTATCAGCCTTCTTGCAGGCACCCAGAATCCTGTTGTAGACCGCCATCAAAGCATGATGATGCTTTGCTTTGCCAGCGGCGTGGCTAGAAAGCAGTGCGGTTGGCCTTTGGCCCCCTCCCCTCGTGCCTTGCCAGGTGGCTGGCGCCCATTTCTTCATCGACATGATCGTGGACACCACCGTGCGCTACGGCGGGGAGCCGCCGGGCCTGACAGGCTACGAGAAGGCCACTGCCTTCTTCCTGCTGCTGCAGGTCCTGCTGGCGGTGTGCGCGACTGGTGGGTTGCTGGGTGTGTGTATCCACAAACGCATGCACACACGCATGAATGCACCCTGCGATCGCAGGGTTGGAGTCAGCCGCTGCTCGGCACGGGAAGCTGTGCTGGCGTGCTGAGGGTGCCTGCTGGCAGCCTGATTGTGGCACGAAAGCCTAAGACTGCTGGTTTTGCTTAGAGCTTGTTGTGTCACCCAAAGGTGATGCCATCCAGGGGATGGCTTGTACGACTGGGTTGCTTAGAACACTCGCCCCTCCAACGCCCAATCCTTGGCCACCACCGATATCCAGCCCTGGCAATGCGCGCGATCGACGAAATCAAGGTGAAGCAGCGGGAGGAGTACAGCCGCCTCACGACAATCTCCACGCTGAATGACACGCTTCAGGTGGGATGGGGTTGACCGCCGCTCCGCGGAGGTTGCGGACAGGGAGCTTATCGGGTTGGGATGGGGGCTGGGCCAGTGGGGCAGTGGCCAGGCGGCATGCTGGGCAGTCAAGGGGCATGCGGTCACACTGGCTCCTTGGGGCGCTTGTTTAGGCGGGTGCTGCTTTGTGACATACAGTTAGGCGCTGCATGCGGCGCGATGTGTGGGCTGCAGGCGTTGGATGCCGGTCGTCTCATTATGCGTGCCTGCCTTGTGTGCTGCCCTACCTCGCAGTTTGAGCCAGACCGGCCCTAGGAATGGACATGTGTGCATGCTGTAAAGGCGCCACCAGGTGGCCGAGGCAGGTTCTCACGTTGTGGCTCTGCTCAGGGTGCATTTGTACAGAATCGCCACATCAGCACATTTTCATGCCGCTGTCGCACATTTTCCCTGATGATACACAGCAGTGATCTTAATGTGATACAGGATGGGTAACTATATCATGCATCAATCAAAATTGATCAAGACATCTGGCGAGCAGCGTCATCAGATTTGCTATGATACCAATCCCTGGACTGCGCATCTTGCCATTGTCGTGAGCGCAACCACCAACACTAAAGCGTCAATTCACGCTCGGTCGTGGTGTTGTGGTTGGTTGAGTGGCTAGTCGCATGCTGTGGACAGGCATCAGGCTACGGAAGTGACCTGTTGACGTAGCAAGCTGAGGAGGCCAGGAAGCGGCCACCGCCCAACAAGGTTGACGACGGCTCCTCTCATGCATGTTCGTGCACAGTGACAACACACTATATCATGATATAAACATCGTGAACTTTGCTTGCTCACTAGATAGCCGCTCGGACGATCTGGACTTTGCTCACCACTCGCGTTCTGCATTTCTACAAGTGTTATGGAAGTGGACGCCACAGATACACCGTGCGCCACTGGCCGATGCACAGGGGGAACAGCTGACCTAGCAGCAGCGAATGAAGCAGCAGCGGACAGCAGGGGCGCAGCCTCAGCCACTGCGCCGCGTGGCAGGGGCCGGCGGCGGCGCTCACTGTCACAGGATCCAAAGCAGCCCTCAAAAGACGAGAACTGGTGGCTCAGCGAGGGCGAAGAGGACTCCGGGGAGGAGCAGAGTGGTGGTGGCGATGACGAGGATGCTGCGGCACGGCGGCCGCTGCCTCCAGAGCAGGCGGATCCCTTTTATGATCCCGCAGCGGATGACGAGGTGAGGGGCCCATCCATGTGGTTGGGGACACGGAAGGGCGGCGCGGGCAACTGTAGCGACGATTCGGCCGGCTGTTGCACCGCCGTGCTGCATCAGCACGCTTGCCCACCTGTCGAGTCTTGCGGACCGCAGCGCACCTACAAGGTGGTTCTGCCCTCTGCGATTGGGTGCGCGAGCAGTGCCGCCATCCGTGCGACTGGTGCAGCCTCGTGCACGCCCCATGAAGTTTCCTGCCGCCCCTGAATGCAACCCGCGCAATTATTAGAAATCAATCACGATCGTTGACACACTCCCGCCTCGGTTGCTGCAGGACGCAAAGTGGGTTGCTGCAAAACGGCAGGGGCGCGCCACCGACGCGATTCTCTCCTGCCCCGGCTGCTTCACCACCGTCTGCATGGAGTGCCAGCAGCATGCGGTTCTGCACACCCAGTACCGCGCGGTCTTCACCATGAACTGCAGCGCGAAGTCTGAGGCGCACATCAGAGTCCCCACCCAGCGCGGCAGCGGCGGCGCGAGCAGTGGTGGCGGCGGCAGGAAGCGGAAAGGCCCGGAGGAGGGCGGCAGCAGCGGCGCTGGCGGCGGTGGGGTCGGGGGCGTGGATGGCGAGGTGATGTACCCTGTGTACTGCGATGTGTGCGAGACGCAGGTCGGGGCGCAGGACTCTGACGAGGTGGTCCACTTCTACCACGTGCTAGCCAGCAATCCATGACGCAAGGCGCCTCTTTTCGGCCCCCGCATACGTTCAACGTGTCGAGAGTGTGCATGTGATTATCGACAGCACATTTCCGTGGTTTGAGCAGGATTTTCCTGATTGCGGCCGGCGCAGCAGTGCTCTGCAGTTGACCGCTTGACCGTCTCAATGCAGGTGCAGGTGCAGCTTTGGCTGCGACTGCAGCTTTGTACATTCAGATTCCGCACCAACAGACGCCCTGCAGCATTGCCTATTCCAAAAAGTGCAAAGTTTCTTTTTGGTTTTCCTGACTTAACCGTTTTGACTGATTTGACCGTTGTGACTGATGTGACCGTTTTGACTAGTATACAACTGTTATTGGACACATGTTACTCCGATGCTAGCAGTCACCACCCACACGTCGAAGCGCTTCCTGTGAACAGCGCGAGGTTGTGGCAGATGCCCCATGCCTTGCAGGTTGCACATGCAGCGTGAGGCGGCTGCCGTGGGCCCAACAGTGCAGGTAGTGACACAGCGGGTACAGTAGTCAGGTCGGGCACAGCTAGAGGCAGCAAGGGCGGTTCGCATCAATACAACGCAATAGCACACAGCCCATCAAATGTCAAACGAAACACATAATCCCAAAGGCGTCGAGAACCACACGTGCCAGCCTGATGAACACAGCTGCGTCGCACTGGGCCGTTGCCCCCAAGCTGCCAGCAGCGACGCCTCCCGCCGTTTGCAACCGTGCTGTCGAGTTCCACTTTTGTCGCCAACACGGCAATGCCCTGTGGATGTCAGGCTACCTGCCCCCTCAAGCCTGCGCGGAGGAGGTGCGATGCAGCGTCACGGTCATACAGTCACTCCCGTAATCCGCTTGTCCGTTCAACAGGCTAGACTCCCACGCATTGGCAGCTGCTTTGAATCTCAAGCATTGGAAGGTCCCTTGACACTGTACCATAACAAAACCCGAGCCTGTGGCCGGAGGTCTGCGCTGCATCCACGCTGATCAGTGCCAGGTCAGCGCTCAAAACAGGGGTGCACACGAGCACGCAGGTAAGCGGGGCCCTCACCTGGCTGCAGACCTTGGCGCCAAGCGCCTCGCTTGGTCAGAGTGGCCCGTCAACGTGCGTGCCTGCCCTTGCACAAGCCGTTACGCCGCCGCCCGAGCGTCCGCCTCCTCATGCGCCCGCCGCGCCAGCCGCAGCAGCGCGTCGTGCAGCTCTGCGTTGCCCGCGTACACAACGCTCGTCCGGCCCTCTGCCAGGCGCCGCCCCGCCAGCGGCGCGCCGAGCAGGTCGGTCGCGGCCCCGCCGGCGCCCAGCACCAGCGGCACCGCGGGGATCAGGTTGGCCAGGTTCTCGTTGACCACCACGAATGCGCCGCACTGCGGCTCCAGCCACACCTCCGCATCCCCGCTGCCGCCGCCGCCGCCGCCGCCGCTCGTGCAGCTGCTGGCTGCCCCTGCTTGGTAGCCGCGCCACCCGAAAAAGCTGCGCAGCAGAGCCCCGAGGTTGCCGTAAGCCCTGGTCACGTCGAACGCGCCGCCATTGTGACGGTCCCCCAAGAGAGCAAACAGCTGCCGCGCGAGCGCGGGGTCGGTCGGCTGCGCGCTGGTCTTGTCGTGGGACTGGAACGCGTCGAGGTAGGCAAACGTGGCCCCAAGGCGTGTGCAGCTGGTGGTGTGCAAACGTGGGTACAGCCACGGCCCCGCAGCTGCTGCGGGTGTGGCGCCGCTGTCCGCCGTTCTTGGTGGCCCTCCTGGCGCCGCCGTTGCTGATGTCATCGCCGGAGTGGCAGTCGAGCAGTCGTACGCAACGTATCTGCCACCTTGCGCGCCGGTGCTGCCCGCTGGCTGCCCATCCTCCTCCCACACGGCGGCCGCCGCCGATGGGTGCAGCGCCGCGCTGCCGCCCCTCGTGCAGCCGGGCGGCGCGCCGTCGGCGATCACGGCCACTGTAAAATCCGAGAGCTGCAGCTGCGACAGCGGCTTGGTCGTGGCATCCGTGAGCGCGACGCCGACGGCCCACGCGCCCGCGCCCGCGAGGCGCAGTATGGGTGGCGAGGCCGACGCGTCGTTGGCCAGCCCTGACAGCAGCAGGGTGCCGTCGACGGCGTCCAGATACACGTAGCGCCGCGGCGCCCCTCCGCCAGCGGCGGACGCGCCGCCGACCGGACCAGCGTCACTGTTGACTGCGCTGGCGCCGGCGGGGGTCACCTCCTCAGCCTCTTCAGTGATGAGCTCTGGCACTGCCGCATCTGCAGGGCCCAAATCAGCGTCGCTGCCAGCAGAGGGCCCGCGTCTGTCGTGCTGTTGTTGGGGCAGCAGGCGGAGGCAGCGGCGCGTCGCCGGGTCCACCACCAGCCGCAGCTCCGCGCCGCCCTCGCGCGCAAGCCGCGCCAGCACGCCGATCGCCGCGCGCTCGCCGGCCGCGTCTGGCGCCGCGGAGGCCTCCAGCGGCGGCTTGAGCAGCGAGGGGACGCGCGCGACGCGCGCGGGGAGGGGCACGGCGTCGACGGCGGCTCGGACCGCGCGGCACACGTCCAGGGCCGCCTGGAGTGTGCGGCGCCTGTCCTCTGTGGGCGCCATACTGCGATCTGAAGCTGCGCGCCGATCGATGGGGCTTCAATCCCGCCTTGAAAGGGCTGTGCTAGTGGTGGCTTCCCTCCAGTGCAGCAAGAACTGGTTGCCAGCAGCGAGCGCCGGTCCCGGCAGCAGCGGCCGGCAGGGCGCTGAACAGCGTCGTGGGCTGTCACCCGGGTGTTGGGTGCCGTTTACCACACGGTAGATGTGCATGACCTAGAACACATGTGTAAAGCTTGTCAAGCTGGATCAGATAAGTTCTGTATACAGTCTGCTGCGTTGTGCTGACACCAGATCACCCTTGGCAGAAGGATCTCCCGCTTTGATAGAATGGTATTACACTCGGATTAGCACGGTGCATTCTTTCAAGAAGGGATGAGGGCAGGACACCGCTGCCTGTTCAAAATGAGTTCCTTGTTCAAGCGCGCGGCCGGGACCCAGGCAGCAACTAGCACAACCGGATCCGCATACATTCAGCCATGCCGCAGCTTGAGCGCCTCGTACCCCTGGGCCCAGCGCGCTGCTCCGCCGCTCATGCCGCCGGCAATCCTCGCCTCGGAGCGGCTGCTGCTCCCAGTCGCTTCGGCACAAAGGCGATTCACAGCATGCGCTGCGCGGCGCAGCAAGAACGCAGCTGTAGTAGACGTATATGACGCCGAGCAGATCCAGGTGCGAACCCTGAAGCAAGACTGCATCCACAGCATGGCGGCCGCCGCGGCACCTGCACTGCCGCCGTCGCTTGGATTCCAGCTGCTCCACCACTCACCACCATGCAGCCTGAGGCCCTTCACCCCTTCCATTGGCGACCATGCTTCGCACACGCACGCACAATAGTGGGCGGCCTACCGCCGTCGCCTTCCCCCCTCCCTCAGCCCCTCGTCCCCTCCGCGCACCAACCGCCCTCGCCCCAACCCCGGCCCCCAGGTGCTGGAAGGCCTTGAGCCGGTCCGCAAGCGCCCCGGCATGTACATAGGCAGCACCGGCGCCCGCGGCCTCCACCACCTGCTGTGGGAGGTGCTGGACAACGCGGTGGACGAGGTGCAGGCGGGCCACGCCACACGCGTCGATGTGGAGGTCGATGTGGCCAGCGGACGCGTCACAGTCGCTGACGACGGCCGGTGGGTTTTGGCCCGCCGCATGGCCGTGCGGGGACGCGTGTTGCCACATAGAACGGATTGGGGCTTCATCCAAGGGAGTACAGCGGCCAGGGGAGCTCGACGCCAGGGAGGGGCTCGGGCATACGTGCCAGGCTGGCCAATAGATATGAAAGGCCCTGCACACCTGCGAGCAGCTGTAGGTCAGCCCCCGCGTCCGCGTTGAGACTGCCTTACAAGCTGCCTGGGCTCGGGCGGTCGTGACTCCCATAATAGATCCTTGCACTCATTGTACTGTACGCGCTCGCATCTGCACGCACCGCGCGTCTGCAGCGGCATCCCCACTGGCGTGCACCCCCGCACCGGCGTGAGCGCGCTGGAGACGGTCCTCACGGTGCTGCACGCGGGTGGCAAGTTTGGCAATGCGGACGGCGGGCCGGGGGGCTACCGCGTGAGCGGGGGGCTTCACGGCGTCGGCATCAGCGTGGTCAACGCGCTGAGCGAGCACCTCAAGGTGGGGGCGTACGCGCGCGCGCGCGTGTGTGTGTGTATTTGCGCATGTGTGAGTGTGTGTGCATGTGTGTCTGAATGTCTCTGCATGTGCGTGTGTACAGGGTGATTGAGGGCAGGGGTCGGCCTAGAAAGAATGTTCAGGAGGGTAGCGAGAGATATGCATTCTTCTTAGTACAGAGGTCTGTACCAAGAGCCGAGCGGATAGTGTGGCGCACCTGCCTGGCACCGCGTGCAGCCAGGCCGCTTTCAAACAATCAACGGTCGCCTTGCACCCCACGCCGCCTTGATCCGGGTGCTGAAGCCAGCCCACCCCCTGATCGCACACGTTGCAGGTCGAGGTGTGGCGCGGCGGCCGCGCCTACTGCCAGACCTTCAGCCGCGGCGCCCCCCAATCGGCCATGACCGACCGCCCCACCGTCCGGGGGGAGCCAACCAGCGGGACGCGCGTTGAGTTCTCATTTGACAGGACGGTCTTCGCGGCGGGGGTCGCGTTTGATCCAGAGATCGTCGCCGCGCGGCTGCGGGAGATCGCGTTTCTGAACTCAGCAGCCACCCTGCGCCTGAGGGTGACGGGCGGCAAGCAGCCTGCGGCCATCCATCCGGTGGTGGTGCACTCCGCACCCGCGGCGGCGCCAAAGCGGCGGCGGAGCACGAAGGCTGCGGCTGGGGAGGCAGACGGGGGCGTGGACGAGACGGGCGCAGCGGCGGCGGCGGCGGCGGAAGCGTCGAATGGGAACGGGACGGCCGCGGCGGTGGGGCCGTTGGGGGGCGCCGTTGATGCAGAGGGGTGGCAGGTGTTCCATTTTGAGGGCGGGCTTCAGGAGTACGTGCAGTGGTGAGCAATGAAGGGGCACAAACGTGCATCAGCGTTGAGCCAACACATTCCTGGGATGGGCCGGCGGACGCCACCTGGCGCAAACCCCCCGATCCCGCCGTTGATGTGCTGGGGCCTGCGCTGCCGCAGCAGCGTGCCACACGCGCCGGCACCGGCCCCCACTCTGCCGCATGCATTGCCGCGCTTGCCGCACACGTTGCGCACCCGCGCGCCACGCGGCCGCCGCCTGCAATGCCCCCCTTCCTCCATGCCTCGGGCCTGAAAGTGCCCGTGAAATCCAACTGCCCCTGCGGCAGGCTGAATCGCGACAAGCAGACGCTGCACGCGCCGCTGTCGTTTGTGGCGAGCTCCGAGGGCGTGGAGGTCGGCGCCGCGCTGCAGGTGCGCGTGTGTGTGTGTGTGTGTGTGTGTGTGTGTGTGTGTGTGTGTGTGTGTGTGTGTGTGTGTGTGTGTGTTGGGAGGGAACGGGGGCAGAGGGAGCTGCCGCCCCGCTAGGGCGTGCGGCGCGCTCTGTGGTGCGAGCAGCATACTGAACGCGCCAATGCAGTGGGCAATGGCGCGCGTTTGTGCGTCCGTGTGTCGGCGTTTTGGGCCGCAGGAGTGCAGTCTGTCGGTGGGGGAACAGTGCGCATTGACGGGACGCACTTGGGCCTTTGAGTCTGCCGCCTCACCCTGCGGAAGGCCCTGTGCCACGGCTGCTTGCCTGCTGACAGGCGACGGCGCCTCGTAGCATCAGCCCCCCGCATCCCGCCCCCCGCCACCGGCCCACCTCGCTCCGACGCCCCGCACCCTTCCACCCTACGCGCACCCCCAGTGGTGCGCCGACTCGTTCAGTGACGTCACCGTGGGCTTTGCCAACAGCATCAAGACCGTCGACGGTGGCAGCCACATGGACGGCCTCAGGGCCGCCCTCACGCGGCTGGTCAACGTGCTGGCCAAGAAGAACAAGGTCCGTGTTGTTTTTTTTGGGGGGGGGGACGGCTGCGCCGACCGCTGCTGTGGACCTGGGGTCATCTTTCTCGTCTGGCCCCAGGGTAGCCTGAACCGCTTTCATGTCGACAACATCGCCTTTGCCCCTTGCACACACCCTCTGTGACACACACACACACACACACACACACACACACACACACACTCAATCGTGGGCTCACACACACGCACACACATGCATGCACACACACACACACACCTGATTTCCGCCGCTCATGCCTCAACCTCTTGCCCTTCACCCCTGACTCACCCCGGTGACCCCAGCTGCTGAAGGAGGGTGACCCCAGCCTGTCGGGTGACCACGTGAGGGAGGGCCTCGGGGCCGTCATCAGCGTCAAGGTGCGCCACACCGCAGGAAGAGTGGTGCTGCAATTGTTACTTTGGGGGAGGGGGCGGGGGTCGGTCAGCGGAGTACGGGTTGGCGCGTGGCTTCTGGGGGGATAATAATCAAGGACAGCTGAGGGCCATGTCGTGGTCTGGCAGGGTCGCTCCCACTGCTGTCAAGGTGCACGAGGTGTGTCGGGCTAACCATCGGGGGATGGGTCACCCACCCTCGCGCCTCAATTGCAGCCTGCCGCATCGCAGTGGGCGACCCGCAAGATCGCCGTCATCCCAGCGGCCCTCAGGCGCATCTTCCTCGTGGCCCGCGATCGTGCCCAGCTGCCCCCTGGCTCCCGCTCGCCCCACCCCACCGCATCAGGTGTCCTCCCCGGAATTTGAGGGCCAAACCAAGACGCGCCTGGGCAACCCCGAGGTGCGGCGCATCGTCGACACACTCGTCACCCGGGTGAGTCGGGTGACGCCTGCGCGGCCCCTGTCCTCTAGCCTTGGGCAGGGCTGCGACGGCCTGCAACCCACTGCTGTACCTGGCCCAGGGTTGCAGCTTTGTGGCGGGGCATTTGCACTCGGGGGGCTTGGGAGGGAGAGGGGGCCTGTGTCATTA